CATCAGTAATCTCCCTATGCACCAGTTATGAGTTTCCAAGGCTATGGAAGCCCCTTGAGTTCTCCGACTCTTATCTTGTTTAGACACGGTCATAGTCAAAGTGGAGGTTCTCTCCTCCCTTCAGAGAAAGGCACCTCCCTCTTTGAAGACCTGTTCTTTCCACTGGGATCTCACTCACAGAGATCTTTTTGCCAGAGTGTCTTGGCTTTCCATGCCTGAAATACTCTCATGGGCTTTTCAGCCAGATCCGAGTGCCTTTAGGGCTGATTCTGAGGCCAGAGTGCTATTTAGGACATCCGCCATTCTATGAGTCTGCTGAGTATCTCACTTCCCATGTTGGATCACTCTCCCCTTTATTTATTCTATCGGTTGGTGTTAGCAGATACTAGACTTGTTTATGTGCTCCCTTTGACTCTTAGTCCTTTCATTATGATCAATTGCGAACTGAAATTGATCACTTGGAGTAGTAAGATGGCATTGGCACATGCCACCTTGATGGGATTGAATTGGAATCCCCTGGTATGTTTCCAACTCTACCAATTGGGGCAAGTCAGCCCGAGCATGTCCCAAATTATACATCTCTTCCCTCTCTTATTCCCACTCTTATGTTTAACAGGGATCACATTTCAGTTAATTTTCAACACTTAAGAATAACTGTGTGATAATTACAGAATTAAACCAGTCATATTAAGTAGAACAGACAAAAAAAAATACTATGAGGGATAATGTATTAAGTTGTCCATTAGCAGTCAGAGCTATGCTGATCAAGTCACCATTTCTCATAGTGTCCATTTCACTTCAGGAGGTTTCCTTTTTGGTGTTGAGTCAGTAGATTTTTAATCATTAGTTTAAAATAGAGAGAGATGGAAAGAACGTTGTTGAGATTCTGATAGGGGAAAGCAAACATCATTGCATTTAATCTTTTTGATAACCCATTAGTATGTTATGAGGCATACCACCACATTTTTACAGACAAGGTCAGGAAAACTGAAACCCAGATCTGTAAGACAGCAAGACCCTTGAAATTTCCAAATCATTTCACTAAAAACATGAATGAATTGTCTGAAGTAAAAACTATGGATGGGGGCCGGCACTGTGGTGCAGCAGGTTAACACCCTGGCCTGCAGTGCCGGTATCTCATATGGCTGCTGGTTTGAGTCCTGGCTGCCCCACTTCTGATTCAGCTCTCTGCTATGGCCTGGGAAAGCAGCGGAGGATGGCCTAGGTCCTTGGACCCTGCACCCATGTAGGAGGCCCACATGAAGCTCCTGACTCTTGGCTTCAGATTGGTTCAGCTTTGGCATTTGTGACCATTTGGGGAGTGATCGAGTGGATGGAAGACTCTCTCTCTGTGTAACTCTGTCTTTCAAATAAATAATTAAAAAAAAAAAAAACTATGGATGTTCCACTTACACTGTGGAACTGAGCCTGATAAATTTCTAAGGTGAGGGGCAGGAAGGATGAAATGAGCCAACAGCAACAACAACAACAAAATCCAAAGAAGGGAGATTGGAAGAGGTAGAAAATCCCGGAGGGAAATTTGAATAGCTAAGTTTTAGAGCTGATCTATCTGGTCCAATATCCTGGATGAGGATATTATGCAGATGGAGACACTGAGGCCAAAACAGAGGAAGAGAATTGGTCAATGGAGGCCAAAGGAGAGTAGCAGCTGGTCTTCATTGATGAATGCTTCAAAAGATAGAGGAGGATAAAGGCAAGAGAAATACTGTTTTTAGTTACAGAAGATGGGAGAAACAAGGACAAAGAGGGAGAATAGCATACTCTAGAGTTAGAGTTTTGATGACCAGGGGGTGTGATGAGGAATAGGTGCAGCTTGTGTCAGATTTCCAAAAAGTCAAGAAGACCACCCTGTTACGAACTGGTGAATTTCTCCTGTTTTCGCTTCATTTTCCAAGGGAGTAAAAAAAAAAAAAAAAAAAAAAGAGGGGATGACCTCCTTCTCAATAAAATATCTTCTTTGAAACTGGATCTGACATGGCTATTCCAACCCACTATGTGGACTTTGCAGTCAGGAAGACACCAGCTTGAACCCCGACCTCACACTTCCTTGTGGGGAGCAACTCGGACTAGACTAAGTTACTGGAATTAAGACTTATTCTATGCATCTGCTCTCCCGCAATATGGCGCTGGGAGAGGAGAAAACAGCTTCTACACAGCTGCCTCTAGTTCAGCCAATAAACTGTAGGACTTGCTCCTGAATGGAGGAGAGCAGCGTACTCGGCGTGTGGGCAGCCGAGTTGGGATTGGCAGAGGAGGACTATAAAGGAGGAGAGAGACGGCATGCACCAGGAACATCTAAGGGGAACATCTATCTGAAGGAACACCTGTGCAGCCCCCGAGAGAACCGGCCGGCGGTGTGCCGCTCCCCTGCGGAAGTGGGGAAAGTGGCCAGGGGGAACCGCCCTTCCACGGAGGTGGAAGGGACAGTAGCCAACCCGGGAAGAACCAGCAGCAAACCCGGGGAGGGCCGAGCAGACGAAAGAACAGCGCAGGGTCCTGTGTCGTTCCTCCACGAAGAGGGGGAGCGACATTCCTAACTGGATAACCTGGAGCAAGTAATTTATCTCTCAACCTCAGTTTTCACATCTATAAAACAAAGATGATAAAGTTAGAATTCGCAGAGCTGATAGGGAGTATTTGATGGCATAGGGGATGTGAAAGTACCTAGCCAAGTGGCTGGCATAAGGCAGGCAATAAATCAATGAATGCTGATTCCTGTCCTGAACTCTCCTTTATGGCATAGTTTTAGGTTAATTAGTCCATTTATGTTTCTCTCTGTCAATAATTTCTTTACCTGTGAAGAAGGTAAAGAGGCCACCATCACTAACCCATAGTGCTATTTAAGGCATGCAAATAGGCGTAATTTCCTTTTGAATGGGATTGCAAGAAGGGTATGTGCATCAGATGCTATGGATACTAACAATAATGCTTTGGAACACTATGTAGAGAGTGATGGTTTACGGTAATGTTTAAAGGGCACTGTGGCACAGTGGATTGCTCAGCTTCCTGCTAATGCACTTGAGAAGGCAACAGAAGATGGTCCAAGTACTTGGGTTCCTGCCAAGGGCATGGGGACCAGGATGGAGTTCTTGCTCCTGGCTTCAGCCTGGCCCAACCCTGGCTGTTGTGGCCATTTGGGAAGTGAAGCAGCAGATGGAAGATCTGTCGCTCTGTCTCTCCCTGTCATTCTGCCTTTCAAATAAATAAATAAATATATTTTTTAAATCAATGTTTAAATTTAAAATAGACTTCCAGTCCAAAGAAGGAAGTAAAACAAAACAAGGAAAGAAGACAAGCAGTAAAATCTGGTTTCCTGGAGCATCGGCACCCAAAGAGTTGTCCTTATATTTCTGACTGTCACTATGGTCAATTAGGTAGGAGCACCCCCAAGAGAAATTGAAGGTGTCCCAGAGGCTCAGGGAAGAAACTATTTCAAGAAGGGCCAAGTGGCTTGTGATACCAAGTATGTCAGGAACATTGAGAACAACATTACATATTTCTTGAGTATAGCTCTAGAACTTGGAATAATCACATGGTGAGCCTGGAAACAGAAAGAGAAGCTAGGCCAAACTGGGCTTACATAACCAACCCCCTCAGAAGAGCTACCTTCTGAGGGCAAGTCCCAGATGACCTAAAGACTTTCCACCAGGTCCCCTTCTTCAATGCTGTTCCAACCCCCCTCATCCAAAAATCATTCAAATAAGAATTGTTAAACATCTGCATTAGTGTGGGGAACCAAATGCTCTTCATCCCATAATAGTACTCAGATGAAGAAAAAAACCTTAATGGTGGAGTTACTTGCTTTAAGGTGTTAAATAAAAATAAGTAGGATTTTTTAAAAAACATATGCCTTCTTTCCAAGTCTATTTTTGCTCTACCAGGCCTCACTGAAAACCTTCCACAGGTTCTTTCTGGATAGATGTGTTAGCTATTAAGATGTTAGGGGAAACTTAAAAGGTTCCCCTACAATTTACGATGGAGATAACTAATCAAGCTATTTAAAAAATTACCAGTAAGAGGTCATTCTATGGCTGAAACTTTAAAGTATTGATTTCCTAGCCCCAAGGTGAAAATCAACAACAAAATAAATATTAGAGATATTTGTAACTTTGTAATTAAAAGCAGAGGAGTTAAGGAGATAAACATAACTTGGCACCCTTTTAGAAATGGTTCAAACAGGTCATCAAAGAAGGAGGTACCTTTCTCTAAAGGGAGGAGAGAACTTCCACTCTGACTACGACCTTGTCTAAATATGATCAGAGTCGGTGAACTCAAAAGGCTTCCATAAGCCGGCGCTGCGGCTCACTAGGCTAATCCTCCACCTTGCGGTGCCGGCACACCGGGTTCTAGTCCCGGTCGGGGCGCCGGATTCTGTCCCGGTTGCCCCTCTTCCAGGCCAGCTCTCTGCTGTAGCCAGGGAGTGCAGTGGAGGATGGCCCAAGTCCTTGGGCCCTGCACCCCATGGGAGACCATGAGAAGTACCTGGCTCCTGCCATCGGATCAGCATGGTGCGCTGGCCGCAGCGCTCCTGCCACGGCCGCCATTGGAGGGTGAACCAACGGCAAAGGAAGACCTTTCTCTCTGTTTCTCTCTCTCACTGTCCACTCTGCCTGTCAAAAAAAAAGGCTTCCATAGCCTTGGCAACTCATGACAAGAGCCTAGAGTGATTACTGATGCCATAAACAAGAGTGTCAATTTGTTAAGTCAACAACAGGAGTCACTGTGCACTTACTCCTCATGTAGGATCTCTGTCCTCATTGTGCTGTACATTGTGATTTAATGCTATAACTAGTACTCAAACAGTATTTTTCACTTTGTGTTTCTATGTGGGTGCAAACTGTTGAAATTTTTACTTGATATATGCTAAATTGATCTTCTGTATATAAAGAGAATTAAAAATGAAAAAAATACTAAAAATAAAACAGAAGACTGGATAAAGAAATTATGAGATATGTAGTCTATAGAATACTATACTGCAGTAAAAAAAAAAATGAAATCCGGTCATTTGCACCAAATGGAGGAATTTAGAAAACATCATGGTAAGTGAAATAAGCCAGTCCCAAAGGGATAAATACCATATGTTCTCCCTGATCTTTGACAACTAACTGAGCACCTAAAAGGAAACCTGTAGTAGTGAAATGGACACTATGAGAAACAATTACTTGATCAGTCCTTGTCCTGACTGTCGAGAGACAACTTACCATTTTATTCCTTTAATAATTTTTTATTCTACTTAATACCTCTGGTTGAACCCTTTACTTAACACACAATTATTCTTAGGCATTTAAAATTAACTGAAAGGTGATCCCCGTTAAATACAAGAGTGGGAATAAGATAGGGAGGAGATGTACAGTTTGGCACATGATCACTTGGAGTTACCCCTAATGGTAGAGCTAGAAATGTGCCAGGGGATTCCAAATCAATCCCATCAAGGTGGCATGTACCAATGCCATCTTACTAGTCAAAGTGATCAGTTTCAGTTCATAATTGATCATAATGATAGGATTAAGTGTCAAAGGGATCACATAAATAAGTCTGGTGTCTGCTAATAATCACTGATAGAATTAAAAAGGAGGGAAGGATCCAACATGGGAAGCATGATACACAGCAGACTCATAGAATGGCAGATGCCATAAACAGCACTCTGGCCTCAGAATCAGCCTGTAAGTCATTCAGATCTGGCTAAAAATCCCATGAGAGCCTCTCATGCATAGAAATCCAAGACACTGTGGCAAAAAAAAAAAATGACCCAAATTAAAGATCTCTGTGAGTGAGATCCCAGCACAAAGAACAAGCCATCAAAGAACAAGGTACCTTTCTCTGTAGTTAGGAGAGAACTTCCACTTTGACTATGGCCTTGTCTAAATAAGGTCAGAGTTTGTGAACTCAAGAGGCTTCCATAGCCCTGGCAGCTCATGACAAGAACCTCGGGTGATTACTGACATCATAAATAAGACTGTGAATTGTTAAATAAACAACAGGATTCACTGTATACTTGCTCCCCATGTAGGATTTCTGCCTTAATGTGTTGTACTATGCGAATTAACAGTAAAACTATTACTCAAACAGTACTTTATACTTTGTGTATCTGTGTGGGTGCAAACTGTTGAAATCTTTACTAAGTATATACCAAGTTGATCTTCTTTATATAAAGATAATTGAAAATGAATCTTGATGAAGAATGGGATGGGAGAGGGAGTGGAAGATGGGATGGTTGCAGGTGGGAGGGAGGTTATGGGGGGAAAAGCCACTATAATCCAAAAGTTGTACTTTCAAAATTTATATTTATTAAATAAAAGTTTTTTTAAAAAAGTAAAAAGAAAGAAATGGTTCAGAAAAGGAACTGGACCACTGTATTGCACAACTGCAGGGAGTTATAAATGGGACCTGTTGAAGTTATGCAACATGAGTATCATGCACAGGAAGAATTCTTGTGCTTCCCTCTGTAGTATCTCTGCACTTCTAACCTTCCCATCCTTCTTCCTATCTTGGAATCCAAATCTTGCCTACAACTTACTCATGGAACAGTCAGTCAAAGTCAACTTCCATAGCCCTTAGAATGTCACTACCAATTCCTAACCCCCCACTAGCTCATTCTTTCTTTGTCTAGGTACAATATTTAAAAGCTCTGAGGCAGTAGAGTACAAGTAGCATCTTTTTTAAAATTTATGTATTCATTTGAAAGTGAGAGTTACACACAGAGAGAAAGAGAGGCAGAGAGAGAGAGAGAGAGAGAGAGAGAGAGAGGTCTTCTATCCACTGGTTCACTCCCCCAGATGGCTGCAATGGCCAGAGCTGGGCTGATCCGAAGCCAGGAGCCAGGAGCCTCTTACAGGTCTCCCACGTGGGTGCAGGGGCCCAAGGACTTAGGCCATCTTCTACTGCTTTCCCAGGCCATAGCAGAGAGCTGGATCAGAAGTGGAGCAGCTGGGACTTGAACCAGTGCCCATATGGGATGTGGGCACTGCAGGCTACAGCTTTACCTGCTATGCCACAGTGCCGTGCCGGCCCCAAGCATCTTCTTTAGGTTCAAGTGAGTCTCAACTCTATCACACAGTCACTGTGTGGCCCGAAGTAAGTCGTTTTGTCACTATGAGCCACCTTTCTCCTGAAATAAATGAAGGACATATTTATCATCCTAGTGTTGAAGCACCTGATACTTAGTAAGTGCTCAGTAAATATCAGTTCTCTTCATTGGTTGTCCTTTAGAAATGTGACCCCCTATGGATTCTAGCCATGAATTCTTGATCCTTCTGAGTCTTTTTCAGTCCCAACATTCTGAGCTCCATCAAAACGCTGTCTCCACATCTCTGCCTCTATGGACTCTCCTCAGTGATGGCAATTTACCATGGAAGAGAAGATTGCAAAACTCTGAATAACTGTTTCCATGCACTTACGTACATGCCACTAATACAAACTGTTTCAAGTTCACCACAGACTGCTAGAGTTTAAGTGAACATAATAAGAAACTTGGATCCCACAGACAAGAAGTGACTTTCCCCAGGCCACATAATCCATTAGTGGCACAGTCAGGTCTAAAACCCAAGTTTTTTTCTGACTCCAATCTAGGGCTCTTTCTACCACAGATTCTTGCAATATAACAAGATGTTTAAGAGCACAAACTTTGGAGTCAGACTTTACAACTTCAAATCCTGCCTCTGCTACTTGCAAAACCTTAGGCAAGTTGTTGCTTAACCTCTCTGTCCCTAAGTTTAATAATAATACCGTCAACATAGGATTATTGTAAGGATTGGATCAGGAAATATAAGTCAAAATGTTTAGTACTTTTGGTTTGCAATTACTATTCCAATTAATATTGACCTTGCCCCTTTCAACCTTTCCCCAACTATAAATGCCTCTATAGATAATGCTACTGAAAGACCCTATAACCTATAGTATTCTGGCTGAGCAATTATATAAAGGTATATTTTCTGCAAGTTTAAAATTTTTGCTTACAGAGCAGTTCTCATTGGTTGTGCATAGACTGGGGTTCTTTTTCCACTGTATTTTTCCCCCCTGCCTCCCGATCCTCAAGTCTTTCCCCCTTGCTGTCTCATACTCTAAAAAGAGATTATTTCAATCTCTTCCACTTCTAAAGATAATCTCTTTGATTAGCTTTAATATTCTAAATTCTCCTTTAGTTCCAAGAACTCGAGCTCTGCGGGGGAGAGAAGTGTCCACATTATGATCCTTCATGCACTTGAAGGCAGTTATTAAGTTTTCTCTCCCTAACTGGCTAATTGAGGATATGACACAGTTATGTGCTGCTTTATAAATAGAGCCCAAGAGGACTTCTTCCTAAACAACTCTATTTATTTGCCTTTCCTACTGAAGAATCACGACTCACCGCTTTCTGAATTACTGACTTCGAGTCTTCTACATTTAATTTGTCTTCAACTTGCTGCACTTTGAAGTTGAAATTCTCTTTTACCTACAGTTCAGATTTCACAAAACTCTTGCTCTAGCTTCCCTGATTCCAGTTAGTAAAATGTGAACTGAGTGATATACTAATAGAGAGCTTCAGTTCTCACTGACTCATATCTTTGGAAATAGCTATCAGGCTCATCACTCCACAAAGGAATAGCAAAATATATTTATCAATCATCCATGTATTTGCCTAATGCTAAAGATACATTGCAAGTGATGTTATCCCTAGAGATAGATATCCATTTCAAGTTAAAAGTAAATAATTTAAAAACAAAACTCAAAGGGTATGATAGGTAGAAAAATACAACTGATTGCATTTAAAGTTCTTAAGGTTTACTCAAAAATATTTTCTGGGGGCTGGTGTTGTGTGGCGCAATGGGTTAAGCCACCACCAGCATCACTGCATCGCCAGCATCCCATACGATTGCTGGTTACTGAGTCCTGGCTACTCCACTTTCTGCTCCAGCTCCCTGCTAATGTGCCTGGAAAAGCAGCAGAAGATGGTCAAAATGCTTGGCCCCCACCACCCATGTGGGAGACCTGGATGTAGTTCCAGGATCCTGACTTTTGTCTGGCTCAGCCCTGGACATTACATCCCTGTGGAGAGTGAACCATTGAATGGAAAATCAATCTTGGGGGCCGGCACCTTGGCTCACTTGGTTAATCCTCCACCTTTGGCTCTGGCATCCCATATGGGCGCCAGGTTCTAGTCCTGATTGCTCCTCTTCCAGTCCAGCTCTCTGCTGTGGCCCGGGAGTGCAGTGGAGGATGGCCCAAGTGCTTGGGCCCCTGCACCCTCCACATGGGAGACCAGGAGGAAGCACCTGGCTCCTGGCTTCGATTCAGCGCAGTGCCAGCTGTAGCGGCCATTTAGGGGGTGAACCAACAGAAGGAAGACCTTTCTCTCTGTCTCTCTCTCTCACTGTCTAACTCTGTCAAATAAATAAAAAAAGAAAGAAAGAAAAAAGAAAATCAATCTCTCTCCCCTGCCCCCCGTCTCAAGTTTGACTTTAAAATAAACAAATAAATAAAATAATTGAAAATATTTTGGCCCTATAATACTTGTCGCTCCCCATCTTCGTGGAGGAACGACACAGGACCCTGCGCTGTTCTTTCGTCTGCTCGGCCCTCCCCGGGTTTGCTGCTGGTTCTTCCCGGGTTGGCTACCGACCCTTCCACCTCCGTGGAAGGGCGGTTCCCCCTGCCACTTTCCCCACTTCCGAGGGGGAGCGGCACACCGCCGGCCGGCTCTCTCGGGGGCTGCACAGGTGTTCCTTCAGATAGGTGTTCCTTCAGATAGATGTTCCTGGTGCATGTTGTCTCTCTCCTCCTTTATAGTCCTCTTCCGCCAATCCCAACTCTGCTATCCACACGCCGAGTTCGCTGCTCTCCTCCAATCAGGAGCAGGTCCTGCTGTTTATTGGTTGAACTGGAGGCAGCTGTGTAGAAGCTCTTTCCTCCTCTCCCAGCGCCATATTGTGGGAAAGCAGATGCGTAGAATAAGTCTTAATTCCAGTAACTTAGTCTAGTCCGAGTTGCTCCCAGTTGCTCCCCACAAATACTTTCATCAGATTGTGGATTGGAAATAGTTTCACTGACTTAAAAAAAAACTTTTATTTCTCAGCATTTTACACTTGTAAAACTTTTTATTTCTCAGCATATTTTTTTAAAAAATATTAATTTGTTTGAAAGGCAGAGTGACAGAGAGATTGAGAGAGAGAGAGGCGGAGAAAGAGAGAAAGAGATATTCCATCTGGTAGTTAATTCTTGAAATGCCCCCAAGAGCTGGGGCTGGACAAGACTGAGTGAAGGAACCAGGAAATCCATTCAAGTCTCCCACATGGGTGCAAGACCCAAATACTTGACCATCTTCCATTGCTTTCCCAGGTGTATTAACAGGGAGCTGGATAATAAGTAAAGCAGCTGATACTTGAACTGGAGCTCACATGGGCTGCCAATATCACAGGTGGCAGCTTAACCTGCTGCACTGCAACACCGACCCCAGTATTTTTATCTTTCCAGACAAGTGAAGAAATTAAGCCATGTGGGTATCCACAATGCTGTATTTTGCTCACTTAAATGGTTTATTTCAATTGTATTTTTATGATTTTCCTTTGAAGATGGTATTATGATGACCGATGCACTAGTTGACACTCATGGTAGAAAAAAAGGCTGATTATTTTTAGGGTGGCTTGACTAGTGTGTGCCATCCTGGAAACTTGTGAGGAGTCCTTTCCTTTCTCTCAGCTCTGAAGAGAGCAGCTGGGCTTGATTTTCTACTTTGCTGCTTCACCTTGTCTCTGAAAGCTGCATCAGATATAAAGGACAGTGGGCAGTCATAGTAGTAAAAATCATTCTGTAACTCTTTTCCACATCCATCAACACATCATTTTTTTGCACATCCACAGTGCATTTAATTCTGCATGAATTGATGCAACATGGACAAGGGAGGAAAAATGACCCCCAGCTGCTAGCCCATATTTTACCTTTGTGAAGCCTAGGAAAGTATATCTCTATACACAGTATTCTACAGAATCCTACCACAATATGAGTACAGTGCATGCCCAACCTTGCAGGATTAATTACTGTTTGTGTGATAACCAAATTACAGGCTCTAGGGACAGATGTTGTGGTACAGCAGGTTAAGTCACCACATGGGATGCTGGAATACCATATTAGAGTGCAGCTTTGAGTCCCAACTGCTTTGCTTCAGATTTAGTTTCCAGTGTATGCACCCAGGAAGACAGTAGATGATGGCTCAAGTGTTTGGGTCTCCATCATCCATGTGGAAGACTCACGGAATTTCCAGCTCCTGGTTTTGGCTTGGCCCAGACCTCGCTGTTGCAGACATCGGGGGAGTTAACCAGTGGATGGAAGATCTCTTTCTATCTATCCTTCTGTAACTCTGACTTTCAAAACATAAATAAATCTTTAAAAAATAAGAGAGGACATAGAAAGTTGGGGAAATAGCATTTGAGGAATTCCTGCTACTGTCTTGTGAAGGCTATTAGGCAAATTATAGATAAGGAAACCAAGATTCACGGAGTTGAATTTTCCCAAATTCCCACAGCAAAATAAGGATTGGCTGTAGCACTGAATGTTGATCCAGTTGGCTTGCAAGCCCATACCTAGTCTGCTCATTCCCACCATGATATCTCTCAAGAAAGCTGCACAGAGCCTGCAATACCAAGCACACAGTAAGGAGAGGAATTTGTTCTGATCCGGCAGCTAAAGGGTTATCACTTTGAGTATGGACTAAGAATAACTTCCTGTTGGCTGATAACAGGTGAAAAAGACAATTTTTAATTCTCTGGATTCTGGGCCATTTGCTGATTCTAATATCACCTGGTGGTTTGTAGCATTGATTTAATGGAGAGACACTTATTATGAATATCAAGACTGTGCTAAAATATGTTTTTGCTCTCTGTCCTTTGTTTTGCTACACACATCCAACTTGAACTAAAAAGCCAGCACTACCTCACAATAGCGCAGCAATTGGCCAGCTCAGTAAACATGCCATGAGCTGACATCACAATTTTGAGACCAATATTTTATGCAAAAAAAGAAAACTTGGAAAAAATTTTCCATTGTTGTTAGAAAACTTTTTGCTAAATCATGTCTTCTAGGGCTGAAAGACCCCTTTTATCTAGCCAAAATACTTCATTTAGGTGGCTTTCTAAGGGGCAATTGAGCCCTGTCAGTCTTCTGGACAGTCGATCAATGCCACTACCATTAGAAACAAGGGAGAAAACAGGGTTTTGCAATTAATTACCTCTTCCTGGTTCCTCAATTTTCTCAGGTGCTGGTTTCCTGGGAGTCTTGAAGACACTTCTCAGACGTCTGCACTTCTCAGGTTTGGCCTTCTAGGCTGAAGTGGCTTCTGCTTCGGTTTTCAAAGTGGACAAAATGAAGTTCAAGATTTCTCAGTGGGCATCCTGCAGTGACAAGTGTGTACTGTGGACTGGGAAGACTCTGCTAGAAAAATCTCTGGTGGGAGATCCAACGTGGCTGAATAAGGTGTAGCTGCATGAACTTCAGCTGCTCTGGGATAGGAAAAGAACAAAGCAAGGATCATGTTTTCAGGGGCCTGACTGATGGAAATGTTCAGCAAAGAAGTCAAAAAAACAATAAAGACTCTGTGGGACAAGGGAAGACAGACACCACTGTAGACAGCTGCGTGGCACAGCCAGCTGCCAACTGTGAGCAGCCATCTTTCCACGTCATGGTAGGAAGAAATCCCCGTGCCCTCCATCACTTGCAGTTTTAGCTGAGAGGGAACTCCGCACTCATCCACTGACTTTTCCTTCAGCCTAGGGAGATGACTGTGTTCTGAGCAACTGCCAGGCTTGGAGCAGGGAAACTGTGCTGCTTCCTTCCCCTCCCCTACTGCCAGACAGCAGCATACTCAGCAGTGAGAAGTTGTGCAGTGTGCAATATGATGGTGTACATGGGAAAACCTAAACACTTCCCCCCAAAACTGTGAAAATTGATAAACCTATTCAGTAAAGTTGCAGGCTACAAAATAAACACACAAAAAACAGTAGCTTTTTTATGTGCTAATGATGAGCTCCCAAAAAAAGAAATCAAGAAAGAAATCCCATTCACAATATCCACAAAAATCAAATATTTAGCAATAAACTTAATAAAAAATGAAATACATCTACAAGGAAAATTATTAAACATTGATAAAAATCATCAAGTATACAAAATGGAAAGATATTCCTTGCTCATAGATTGGAAGAATCAGTAAAATTAAAATGGCTACACTGCCTAAAGCAGTCTACAAACTTGATACAATCCCTATCAAAATACCAATGACATTCTTTACAGAATTAGAAAAATAATCCTAAAATCCATATGGAATGACAAAAGCAATACTGAATAAGAAAAATCAAGCTGGAGGCATCACAATACTTGACTTGAAAGCATACTACAAAGCTATAGTAATTACAACAGCATAATGCTGGCATAAAAAACCAGTGGATCAATGGAACAGAATAGAGAACCTAGAAGTTAATCCACATACCACAGCCAACTGATTTTTAACAAAAGCACTCAGGCCATATGGTCAGTGGAGTAAGGGTAATCTCTTCAAGAAATGGCGGCCGGCGCCGCGGCTCACTAGGCTAATCCTCCGCCTTGCGGCGCTGGCACACCGGGTTCTAGTCCCAGTCGGGGTGCCGGATTCTGCCCCAGTTGCCCCTCTTCCAGGCCAGCTCTCTGCTGTGGCCAGGGAGTGCAGTGGAGGATGGCCCAAGTGCTTGGGCCCTGCACCCCATGGGAGACCAGGAGAAGCACCTGGCTCCTGCCATCAGATCAGTGCGGTGCGCCAGCCGCGGCAGCCATTGGAGGGTGAACCAAGGGCAAAGGAAGACCTTTGTCTCTGTCTCTCTGTCCACTCTGCCAGTCAAAAAAAAAAAAAAATGGTGCTGGTATAACTCGATACATACACATGAAGCCTATAGATCTCTCTATGAATATTTCTAAATGCATCGATAAACATTACTTCAAACTGAAACAGGGAAATGCTTTTTTAAAACCAAATGCGTGATATACATATTCCTTTGATAAGGCATAAATAATGAGATTTAGCATCAAGTCATATTACTGTCTTTATTTTGACAGTGACGCACTTTAATATTATTTAGGGATAACTGCAATAACTAATGTGGTGCAAAATCATCTGTGATTTTTATTGGTGACAAATTCTCAGGTACTATTAACACTACTGTGGTTTCGTGTGTGAGGTTTCATTGAAGAGAATACTAAATTTCAATTAGAGATTAGTTTAATTAAGGTTTTCATTTCTCCCATCCAAGTTAATGAATCTGTGACCTTTTTTTTAAAGAAGTACCTTCCTACATTCTCTCATTCCTTCTCCCCACTCCCATGATATAAGAGGTTGAGGAAACTTGATCTGCATGCAACAGAGAACACTTAGCAATGGAAAGAAACTCTAATCCATTAATTCCTCTCAGCTGGTGGCAGCTCATTCTCAAGCTAATACCTGATCAGCTAAAAGGAAACTATTTATTGGCAGCTCCTCAGAATATTTAAGGGGCTGCACCCTTACTTACCACCTTCGGTAATGTGTTAATAGCTGGTAAGTAGAGAGGGGCACCTGAGAATCTATAGGCTCAAGAAAGGGGCAAACATTTGCGTTCCCTAATTACAGAAACGTGTTAATTGAAGACAGCAGAATTAACCTAAAGTGTTTTTAAATAACTTCTATTCAGAGGACCAAGTGAAAGAAATTCACTCAGACGGAAGAGTAGATAACAGAGCAACCTTGCTTTCCTGAAGAGGAGTTTGAACGAATAGGACCCAAGAAAATGTTGAAACAGCCACCCATGATGGAAAGAAACTGGAAAAAGGGAAGACGTGCTTGTTTGATAGCAATATGTCTCTCTGACTACAGGTAAAGGTTACTATTAACTCCACAGATTTTGTTTTTCATCCCCCAAGATGAGTCAACCTAGCTCTGGAAAATATGTGTGTGTGTCTGTGCATGTATGTATACACATACACATATATGTGTGTGCATATATATATTATATATACATAGTAAACAAGTAGGAGGAGGTGATTGGGGGAGGATGGGGGAAAGAGAGCAGCCTAATGGGGAAGACTTATGAGAAATTAGAGTATAGAAGATAAGGATGACAGAAGAGAGAATTTTATTTCTGTGTAAGAATAATGCAATCTTGTGGCCTCCAGATTTCCCCAAGGAGGGTGTTTTCCATAATACACCGAGTGAAATGCAGCATTCCTCACGCTCCATGAAAGGCTGACTCATAATAAAACTAATCTGCAACACAGTCAGACATTGTATCACGGGGCTTTTACTGACTATCATATTTGAATTATACTTTGTCTCCTAATTATGCTGCTGAAAAGAGTTGAGACATCTCAACGTGTACTTTCATTTGCCTGAGGGGAAAACTCCAGTGGCAATAAGAGTAATACAGCTAGGCAGATGTCTGCATCATAATCCTGAAACCTGTGAGTACGCTACCTTACGTGGCAAAAAGGACTTTTGTAGATGTGATCTTATCATAGATTATTCAAGTGAGTCCAGCGTAATCACAGAAGTCCTGAAGACAGAGATGGACAGAGGGTCAGAGAAGTGATGTGGTGTCACAAGAGGTCAGGGTTATGTAGCTACTAGCCAAGGAATGCAAGAAGTCTCAGAAACTGGAAGACATGAACAACGAAAGGAAGTCCTGCTCCTGACACCTTAGTTTTAGCCCCCACAAGACTCATTCTGAACTTCTATCCCCTGTGTCTGTGTAATGAATTTTTGTTGTTTATGCCACCAAATTTGTGGTAATTTGTTATAGCCATAAGAAAATAATAGAACTCCTAACTCCAAACCAGAGAATCAATAAGAACATAGGCAGGCAGAAGACCCATGTGGTATTTCAACATCTGCCATTAACTTGTGTGACACTGAGAAAGTCCTTGCCCTTCCACTCCAGGACCTCAGTTTTTGAACCTTTTTTTCTCTTGCTGACTACCTTTGCAGGCCAGATGAACCACATTTGCTGTTATAATTGAAGATAGGTGTATGGAGCTGCTGAGTTTGCCTGCTTGGAGATTTTGAGTCTTTGGTGATTCCAAAATGAATCTAGGGATTTGGACATGTTCCAGTTAATAAAGGGAGCACTGTAGGCAGGGAAACTGACATTGCAGAGTCACACTGGTGCCCATACCCAACATGGCTCCATCCCAGAGCTGGGCCTTGTCTGAAGTTGGGCAGAAAGTTAGAATTTTTTAAAGATTTATTTATTTATTTATTTATTTATTTGAAAGGGCAGAGCTTACAGAGAGAGGCAGAGACACAGAGAAGAGTTCCATCTGCTCGTTCACTACCCAAATGGCTACGATGACCCAAGCTGAGCAGGTCTGAAACTAGGAGCCAGGAGCTTCTTCTGGGTCTCCGATGTAGGTGCAGGAGCCCAAGCACTTGGGCTGTCTTCCACTGCTTTCGCAGGAGCATTAGCAGAGGGCTGGATCAGAAGTGGAGCAGCAGGAATTTGAACTGGCACCCATAGGGGATGCTGGCATTGTAGGCAGCAGCTTTACCTACTATACCACAACACTGGCCCCAGAAGGTTAGAATCTTGATTTCCTATTCCATGTGTACATTATCTTGCTTGGTCAACTCAAAGAAACTTGGAATATGGGATCACATATTTGAATCCACTAATGCCCAGACCTGGTTTCAGAGCTGTAAGAACAGTTAGAAGTGATCTGTTTTAGAATTGCCTCTGTTCTTCATGGTGCTGCTAGGGCTCAGAGTCAGCAAAAAAGAACGTTAGCTAGCCTTTCCAATACACTTTATTATAGCTGTGTCCCTCTGCATCCCCTATTTAATGTCTACCCAAATGCTTAAGGACAACTTTTTGCTCACCCTGGACTACTTATGGTAAAATGTAGACCTGGGGTTGGAAGAGCCTTTCAAAAATAATCCAGGTCTGTCCTCTAACCAACCGCTAATTTGAAAATATAGAAATTGAGATGCAGAAGGAAGTGACATGTCCACAACCACTTAGTCCTGGGCCTTTGTCAGGCAGAAATCTGGGAGGTACAGATGAGGTAGGGAAGGAGAGCCCCTGAGACCAGGAAAGGATTTTTACTATGGCTGTTTACTGAGGGCTTCAGATGTAGCCCAAACCCATGGTCAACTTTCATGGTACTTAAACCATGACTGGATGCTAAGGCCATTTCAAGTAACATTTTGTTGGCATCTTAATAAGCTTTTCATAGCACTGTAGTTGGAAGGCCTGAGTAGCAGAAGTGAATAACTGTCACAGATCCTGAAACAGAAGCTGTTTCTCAACATCTTCTAATCTCTAGCCACAGAATTTAATACATTTCTATTTTTTTAAATATTATATATTAATTTGAGAGATAGAGCACTCCCATTTGTTGGTTCACTTACCAAATGCTTGCTATGGCCCAAGCTGGGACAAGCTAGGCTGAAGACAGGAGCCAAGAACTCAATTGAGGGCTTCCACTTGGGTAGCACGAATCCAACCGCTTGAACCATCATAGATACCTTCCAGGTGCACATTAGCAAAAACCTGGAGCAAGCAGTCAGGGTCAGGAATCAAATCTAAGACAGGAGGCTGGCATCTCAAGCAATGTCTTAAGAATTTGGCTAAAAACTGGGCTTTGTAATACAGTTTGCAGCAATAATCAGTACTCATATTCAAACATATATCTGAAACAAAAGTTTCATGGAACAATTTAATATATTTATCATGTGCCTGATATTGTTCAGGGTGTTAATTCACACAATTCCCATGATGATTCCTATGTACTTGGAACTATATAAAAATATATGTGACAGCAATAATAATTAGTAATTATAAGCATGAAATGATAGTAATAACTATTGCATTTTACAACTGGGAAACCCTAGGCAGACAGGTCATATAATGAAGGAGTAATTGGTAAATATGAGATTCACCCCTAAGCAGTACAGCTCCATCAGCCATGCGTTTAACTACTATGTTTTACTACCTTTCCTTACTTACCACCATTAAAAGTGATGCACTCTGATATTTTCCATTCTATCCTGTTTTCATGATTTTTTTAAAGATTTGTTTCATTTATTTGAAAAATGGAGTTAGAGAGGTAGAGGCAGAAAGAGAGAGAGAGAGAGAGAGAGAGAGAGAGAGAGAGAAAGGTCTTCCATCCACTGGTTCACTCCCCAAATGACTGCAACAGCCAGAGCTGGGAAGATCCAAAGCCAGGAGCTTCTTCTGGGTCTCTCATGCAGGTGCAGGGGCTCAAGAACCTGGGCCATCTTCCACTGCTTTCCCAGGCCATAGCAGAGCTGGATCGGAAGTGGAGCAGCGGGGACTCGAACCAGCGTCCATATGAGATGATGGTCCTGCAGGCCAGGGCTTTAACCCACTGCACCACAGCACCGGTCCCTGTTTTCAAGATTTTTAAAAATATATTTATTTATTTTTATTTGAAAGGCAAGGAGGGAGATAGAGACAGAGAAATCGATCATCTTCTGATTCACTCCTTAAATGTGCCTGAGTCAGAAAGCTGCCGCCCAGAGTGCACATTAGTCAGGCAGCTGGAATTGGAAGCAGAGCCAGGACTCAAACTCACTAACTCCAATAAGGAATGAAAGCATCCAAAGTAGCACCTTAATTTCTGCGCTGCAATATCTGCCCCTCATACTTTTCTTTAAAAAAAAAAAAAGATTTGTTTTATTTATTTGAAAGACAGAGTTATAGTTACAGAGAGAGGTGTAGACAGAGAGAGAGGTCTTCCTTTTGTTGCTTCACTCTCTGGCCGCGATGGCCGAAGCTGTGCCGATCCGAAGCCAGGAGCCTCCTCCAGATCTCCCACGTGTGTGCATGTTCCCAAGGACCTGGGCCATCTTCCACTGCTTTCCCAGGCCACAGCAAAGAGCTGGATCAGAAGAGGAGCAGCCAGGACTAGAACCGGCGCCCATATGGGATGCTTCAGACCAGGGCGTTAACTCGCTGTACTACAGCGCTGCCTCCCCTCCCCCATTTTTCAATACCCTTTTTTCACCTGGTAAATTCATTTCAGTAACCTGCCAGGGATTCTAATCTATAAGTCTGCCCTCCAAATAGAGGAAGAGAACCTGAGAAAGACAGGCCCAGCTGGCCCTCCAGACCCTGCTCTACTGCACTTCTCACACATTACAAGTTCCTAGATTATTTGGACATTAGCTATGAAATTTAAATGGGAAGAATGAAGAGATTCAGTAGTAATTGCCCACTGGCATTTCTGTGTTCTGCATCTCCCCTTCCTCTTTGCCTACCTTCGGGCTACCGACAGGAGGGCAGCAGTAGTTAACTAGTGCTTTACAGGGGAGCCCAGGTTGCTGAATACGGAAGAGAGGCTTGGGGGACAGTGGGGTAGCATTGCTGACATCAGGGCCACTAACCCTATGCCCGGATTGAGCTATGTAATTTGGGGCCATGTTTAACAGGGCTGAAAGTATTCCTCATAAGGCATTTTTGGATGAAAAGATTTTGGAAGAATTTCAAAGCAGGAACCCTTCATCCAGTTCGTTTGGGTAAATTCAATTTTAGTCCACTTAGGAAACTCTTCTGAGAATTGTCCCCAAAGAAAACACTATAACAAGTGTGCAAACTGATGAAATGCTTCCAGAAATCAAATAAGGGTAATAATAATGATGCATATATCTGTGTGGCTGGATCTATGAGCACTTTTGGGGGGGGGCGGCTTTCAGGAAGTAGTCCCCTTCTGCTCAATTAAGCTAAAAAGTTAGACTTGTATATGTTAATTACTGGAGCCTGTTGTTGAGTTAATTGGCATTGATATGTAAAGGCTGATTCTCTTCTGGAGGCAGTCTCTTTCCAATCAAATACTATATTAAAGTAGAAAAATAGCAGTTTAATAGCGTTTTTCAAAAAGTTCATAAGCAAATGGAATTTAATAAAGCATGAGTTTATTGTGATGCAAAAAATTTTGAAATCCATGCTTAGTTTTTTCATAATTTACATTTTCCATGTATTCTAAAAAATTTTACAACAATTTCTTTTGCACCAAAATAAAGTCATACTTTCAATTCTATTTTTATTTTTTGCCACAAATTTTCTTAAATACCCTCATAAAAGCCGGAGAGCCCTACTTTAGTCCTGGAAATGTCTGATCCGAGGCCAGATGTGTACTTTAAGCTGCATAGGCTGTCTGGAATTTAGTATATTCATTGATAAATTGTGGCAGTTGGACTACCACAGCTGGGAAGTTTTTTTTCAGTGATAGTTTATAAAGGCAGAGAAGTTTTGTGAACAGCAGGCATTAATGTATGTCAAATTTCAATGCTTGGTTAAACCTGTTACTTAAACATTCTGGTTTTCTCACTGGAGAAGCAGAGATAATATAAAATATGAAAATAAAAGTATAGGACACCAATATAAAAATAGAGAAGCATATTAAAAGATAAATACCTTGTGACCAGTGCTGAAGTCAGAATTAGATCATAGGAGAATCACAGGAGAATGTGAGCTAGTTTGACTTGAGCAGAAAGAAAACTATATGGAAACTTAGGGGCTGGAGAATTCCTCCTGTTTCCGACCTATTAAAGCCAAGCTCACAATCTCTGTTCTGTCTAGCAAGACTGTCTTGCATGTTCAAGTCTTTTTTTAAATACCCTCCCATCACTTTGATTAAAAATTAGAAGACTCTTTTTGGAGACAAATCCATCAAATGTAATTTGTGGACCTTGTTTGAAATTTGAACAAATCACTCATGTAAAAAGACATGTTCGGACAATTGGAGAAAGTTGAATGGATTTTTGATAACAAAGAAATCATAAGTGCTTATATTAGGTGTCATAATGGCAGTGCGGCTGCTCAGAGAAAAAAAGCAATCAGTTAGAAATGAAGCCTAAAGAAGTGATGTTTGAGATTCCTTAAACCATTCTGATTGATTAGATAGATGGAGCAAATAAATAGATAGAAAAACATGCTTGGCAAAATAAAGCTGAGAAAAAAAGGTATTCAGGAACTGATTATACTATTCCTTCCATTTTCTGATGTGCTGAGGATTTCCATAATAGAAATTGTGGTTTTTGCCTCTGTTTTGTAGTAAAGAAGCTTCCCTGGCTTCCCAGTTAGCCTAGACCTAGGTATATAGGTTAGAATCGATTAGGTTTGTGAGCTAGAAGACCATGCCTTCGCCATGCCTCTGTGTGACCCACGCCCTACCTGATACCTTCACCAAGCCCCTGTGTGTCCTCACGCCCCTACCTGGCCACACCTGGGTGCCCACCAGCCAGTCAGGTTAATTAACCACTCCCCTTTGGAAGTGGGTTAAAAGCCTGGGACACGGTGTGTCCCGCCCTTCTCTTCTTCCCTGGCCTCTTGCCAGGAGAGGGCTTGCTGTAGCCCTGTGCCTCCAGGCTTCCTGGCCTACATGCTCCTCCACAAGGCTGGTTCCTGGTGCTCGGTATGAACCCAGATTTACCTCTCTCTCTTATGCATCTTTCTCACTAAATAAAGGCTTAAAATGCACCATGCTGCCTCATTTACCTGTGCCGGTACTTAGAATTCTTCTCTAAATATTAGGCAAGAACCCTCTCGGGCTTATTAATATTGGGGATTTAGTAATAAGCATATGGTGAAATTGTATGGAACCCAACATTCTGGTAGCATATGTGGTACCCCAGATGGCACTTCTGGGGAACTTTAAGGGGCCCCATTTTTATATAAATTTTAGGGGATCATCTCCTATTTCACTAGAAGTGTGTCGTCAGTGATGAGCTGGGCCATGAAGTTCATCTATTTCCGGAAATGGAGAAGTAGGTTAAATGTGCATATCACTTGCATGCTCCAGAAAAGGCGTGATCCCTTTCCCCAAATCAGCAGCAGCTTTACACGGATGGAGTCTACAAGTTGCTGTCTGCCTCCTTCAGAAGCGCTGCTGCTCTAGGAGTCCATGTATATTCATGGACATTTGAAGTCTTTGATGCAAATTGGATTCACTTAAGCTCTGTTTTCAAAGGAAGGGACTCTAGAAACTAATGGATGAGGAAAAAACATCTTTTCACCTGAAGTACTCAGTGGCAATGATGTCTCCCCAGGAAAAAGCAGGCTCCTCATTTTCTGCCAAAACCTGAAAGGGAAAAGTAGAAAACCTAGAAGCAAAAAAGTAAAACGCTCTAAGGATGACTTCAAGAACTGAGTAAGGGAAAGACAGAGGCTAAAGATCTGACTGGAGAACACAGCTGAAAAATTTGAGCTGTGACTCCAAAGAGCTGTGTAAGCAACTCCAGGATTTTGAAAAGCCCCTAAGGGGCCAGCGCTGTGAGGTAGTGGGTAGAACTGCCGCCTGTAGTGCCAGCATCCTCTATGGGCACTGGTTCGAGATCTGGCTGCTCCACTTCCGATACAGCTCTCTGCTATGGCCTGGGAAAGCAGTAGAAGATGGGCCAAGTCCTTGGGCCCCTGAACCCATGTGAGAGACCTGGAAGAAGCTCCTGGCTCCTGGCTTTGGGTTGGCACACCTCCAGCCATTGTGGCCATCTGGGGAGTGAACCAGCAGATGGAAGACCTCTCTCTCTGCCTCTCTGCCTCTCTTTCTCTCTGTGTTTGTAACTGTGACGTTCAAGTAAAATAAATAAATCTTTATTTTTATTTTTTTATTTATTTGACAGATATAGACAGTGAGAGAGAGAGAGAAAAAAAAGGTCTTCCTTCCATTGGTTCACTCCCCAAACGGCCACTACGGCGGGCGCGCTGCGCCAATCCAAAGCCAGGAGCCAGGTGCTTCTTCCTGGTCTCCCATGCGGGTGCAGGGGCTCAAGCACTTGGGCCATCCTCCACTGCCCTCCCGGGCCACAGCAGAGAGCTGGACTGGAAGAGGAGCAGCAGGGACTAGAACCCGGGGCCCATATGGGATGCCGGTTCCACAGGCGGAGGATTACAAGTGAGCCAGCCCCTAAAATAAATAAATCTTAAAAGAAAAAAAAAAAGAAAGAAAGAAAAGCTGCTAAGAACAACACAGTTTCTCTAGATAAAGCCCTAGGCAGACAACGAAGACTGTTGAATTTTTAATATGGTAATGCAAAAAAGTGAAACAGATCCCCCTAGGTAGTGCCTTGGATACAGATACTAGATACTATCAGGTGCCAGTCTCCCCCACTCTCCTAGCCTCCCTCCCTTAGTTCAGTTCCCTTGCCCTGCTTTTCCTAAAATTAATTCACTAAATTGAGGGAGTGGTGCAGCTGGCCCTACACCATCCCTGAACACAAGATTCATGAGGTCATTTAGCTCCTCTATAGATAACATGTTGATCTTAAGGGTTTTCTTTTCCAGGAATTTCCAGCTCTGAGGAAGAAGTAAATACCACTTGACTGACTGCAACACCCTTTGCCGTTATCAAAATTACCAAAAGAACATGATATCGCCGAGAAATCAAAAAAGGGCCTCAACAACCACAGATCAACCCAGGGAATTGGACACGAGCTGAATATGCACTTCACAAGCCCAACTTCAATCTGTAAAAACTATCACTTAAGGACACCAGGGATTAAATGGTAACTGCCCAACTTGTTGCTCTGTGCTTTGCAATAAATACCTACTTTCTTCTACCACCCCAATGTCACTAATTGGCATGCTGCATGTCAGGCAAAGACACAGTCTTGGGAGTTCTATGGCAATTCTTCCAACCAGTTTTGGAGGTAGTCGATGACAGAAATAGAAATAGTTATTAGGAATATGAAAAAAAGTTCAAGTACATAAAGGCTAGATATTCTTTGTTTTTGCTTTGCAAATTAGCAAAGGTTTCACAATATGTATAGTATGCACTGCTGGTTATGGTTTGGAAATAGCACCGTCACAGAACTTGTGGTACAAGCTTTCTGAAAGCAGTTTAGTAATACATACTAACAGCCTTAAAATGCATATATCCTTTGATTCAATAATTCTACTTTTACAAATTCGCCCTTAGGGAAAAATTGGGCATAGGAACAAATGTTTACGTGCAGGAGTGGCCAGGCCAGGGCCTCCGCAGGAATCTTCACAGCAATCTCCACACGCATACCCACCCACGTGTTTGATATGACCGATTGGTGGGTATTGAAACATTTGAGAATTGAGGACTAATGTTTAAAAATTACATGATTTCTTCTGTAAATTCAGATTTCTAGTTTATTTTAGAAATTTAAGGAATCTATAAGCTCTTGACGTATATTTCTTCATAGCAACAATTAACTGGAGCCAAGTGGCAGCTATCCTCTGGAGAAAGTGCCTCATAGTCCTCGTGACTCCCTAAAAGATGTACTGAGCTCTCTTTCTGCAATTAATGAGATATTCTCTTCACCTACATTATCTAGTTAATTCGTATTTATTATTGAAATTCGGCTGTTGTCACCTCTTCCAGGAAGCTTTCTCTGATATTTATAGCCTAGGCTGGGTGTTGAACATAACAACATAAGCTCGATAGGAAATGATTAGAAGGTAAAATGCAGGAATAATTAATTATGAGTATAGTATATCCATATAATTGAGTAACTTGCCACCACTAAAAACAGTAGAAAAGAATAATATTAAGGTAGTTAATAAAAATATAACAAAATATTAAGTAGAGTAACTTCATTCTTTTTCTCCCAAATGTAAAATGTATATGCATATTTACTTATAATTGTACCAAATTGTCAACACTGGATTTCTTTTTCTTTTTCTTTTTTTTTCTTTTTGACAGGCAGAGTGGACAGTGAGAGAGAGAGAGAGACAGAGAGAAAGGTCTTCCTTTTCCGTTGGTTCACTCTCCAACAGCTGCTGCGGCCGGCGCACCGCGCTGATCCGAAGCCAGGAGCCAGGTGCTTCTCCTGGTCTCCCATGCGGGTGCAGGGCCCAAGGACTTGGGACATCCTCCACTGCCCTCCCGGGCCACAGCAGAGAGCTGGACAGGAAGAGGAGCAACCAGGACAGAATCCGGCGCCCCGACCAAGACTAGAACCCGGTGTGCTGGCACCACAGGTGGAGGATTAGCCTAGTGAGCCATGGCGCCAGCCAACACTGGATTTCTATGAGTAGAATTCTAGATGGTGCAAATGACTTCTATTGCTGAGAGAGCACAAACTAGCTATAGAGAGCTAAGACTTCAGATGATTCATATTTCACTCTATATTTGAAAGTTTCTTACAATTACCATGAATTGCCTTCTGATTTCTATTTTGTTTACATTATTGAGTACATTTCCGTACTTCTTTATTTGTGTGTATGTATGTACATCCTTGGATAAGTAGTTTCACTCATCCCTGGACCTCAATCTTCCCATTCATCAATGTGACAGCTATAATGTAATGGAACTACATCAATGATTCTTACAATTTATTGCAAAAAATGCCTGCAGAGACTTTGTTTAAGATGTGGATTACTGAGCACCACTGATGGAGGTTCTGGAGATGTAGGGATGAGGTCCAGAATCTGCATTTTAATCCGCCCTTCTGCCCGTCAACCCTGGGCAATAGTGTCGGCAGTTCAAGTACAACACATTGGGAATAACTGGGCCAGATGGGTTCTAATTTCCAGAATTAAATTGATATATAATTATATTTATGATTTCTATGCTTCATGAAATCTTTTCTTATATATTGTTCTTATAAATATTACATTGATAGTAATTAAGATTTGCTGTTTTCAAAACAAGCCCTTTTTCAGAACAAAAACTCAAATGAATAGATGATGCTCATTATTTGCCAGCCACCTTATGTTAATTCATATAATCTTTAATTTTTTTAAAAAAAGATTTACTTATTTACTTGAAAGGCAGAGTTACAGAGAGGCAGAAGTAGAGGTAGAGAGAGGAGGTCTTCCATCCACTGACTCACTCTCCAGATGGTCACAATGGCCAGAGCTGAGCCAATCTGAAACCAGGAGCCAAGATATTCTTCTGAAGTCTCCCACATTGGTGCAGAGGCCCAAGGACTTGAATCATTTTCCACTGATTTCCCAGGCCACAGCAGAGAACTGGATTGGAAGAGGAGCAGCTGAGACTTGAACTGGCACCATATGGGATACTGGCACTGCAGGCGCTGGCTTTACTTGCTATGCCACAGTGCTGGCCTCTCACATAACCTTTAAACAACTCAGTGAAGTACATTGAAATATATATCAAGTACATTCATATATTACTCATTTCTCAAATATTAATAACTCTATTATGTGTGATGTACTTAACTAAATACTGGGAACACAGATGTAAATGGAATGGTCTCTGCCCTCAGATTAAAATCTATTTTCATCTAATCTATAAACAGAAAGATAGCCTACAATCTAGTAACAGTGATTACATAGATATGCCTAATGTATTCTGGGAAACCAGAGCAAAGACACCTACCTAATCCAGCCTGAGAGTGTTAGGAAAGGATTCCTGGAGGAGGAAATGTGAACTGTATCTTGAATAATGAATAGAAATTAATTAGCTGATTGATGTGCAAAGATATTAAAAGAAAAGAGGCCAGCATGAGCAAATGCACAGAATCTAGAAACAGCATGATGAGGGGTGAAGGAACTCTGAGCAAATCTATACCGAATGTATCATAACATATTAAAGAACTTGAGCTTGACCACGTGGACAGTGAGAAACCTATGACAGGTTTTAAGAAGGAAAGTACCATGGTCACATTTGAGTTATGAACAAATCACTGTTGCAATGTGGAACATAGTGAAAAGTCAGGAAAACCAGTTCATTGTTTCTTGAAGTTTAAAGTACCTATTAATCACTTGGTGATCCTATTAAAATACAGTATCTGATCATGTAGGCTGGTGGTGGGGCCTGAGATTCTGCATTTCTAACAAATTCCCAAAGAATGCTGAAGTCGTTGTTCCTTGGGCCACATTTTGTGTAATGAAGAGGTAAGAGGCTATTGTAATAATAGCCAACTGAGACATGATGAAAGCCTGAACTAGGGCAATTTCCAGGAGTGGAAAAAAGTAAATGGATTCAAGAAATATTAAGAACTCAAATAGGCAGGACTTGATTATTGCTTTTGAGATTGGGTAGATAATAAAGAGAGTAGGTGTCTATGATTATCTTCAAGTGTAGCGTGGGTAAAAAGATGGTGCCAACACCTAAAAAGATAATGCCAGATAAAGAGACATGAGAAAAAGATGATGAATTCAATCTATAAAATATTGCTTTCTCCTTACTTACTACCTTATTCCAAACAAGAATTTAGGTGGCTGTTGAAGACATGCTAATGCCAGTGGCCTGTAGAAAAACCCCAGAAATGACCAACAGGCAGTTAGCTACATAAGGAGAGTACAGCACAGTGGTTGAATGGATGGACCCTGGACTCAGACTCCCAATGTTCAAATATCAGTGCTAGCTGTTTGACAATTTAAAGAGTGAAATAAGCAATCTCTGCCTCATTTTCCTTAGTAGTAAAAAAAAAGAAAGAATACCTTACAGAGGAACTGTGAGAATAAAATAATATATTCAGCATGCTTAGACTATGAGTCTTGGGGCAAAATGCTGGTTGCTGTTGTGTTTGCTGTTGTTATTGTAGAGTCCAGAGCTCTGGGAAGGTGGGACTGGAGAAATAGATTTGGGAGCCATTATTGTGTAGATGATAGTTGAAACCATGCAGCTGTATCGCATAAGAAGTTATGGCTGAATAGATAACTAGCAGCACTGCAAAATTAACAACTTAAAGAGAAAACAGGAGAAATCAAGAAGAAAGACAGCACAAGTGTTAAGACCCTGCTTGGGGCACCTGCATCCCATATAAAAGTACCTGTGTTCGAGTCCCAGCCCTGCTCCCAATTCCAGCTTTCTGCTATTGTGCACCCTGGCAGGCAGCAGGGGATGACCCAAGTACTTGAACCTCTGCCACCCATGTAGGAGACCCAGATGGAGTTCCTAGCTCCAAGCTTGGGCATGGTCCAGTCCCAGCTGTTGTGGGCATTTGGGGAGTGAACTAGGGGATGAAATCTCTCTCTCTCTCTCTCTCTGTGTGTGTGTGTGTGTGTGTGTGTGTGTGTGTCTCAGAAGAAAGCACAAAGACTGGTCAGCAAATGATGAATCCAAGGAGATTTAAGGATGAAGTGACTAGTAGTATTTTGCATCTGAAGAAGCTCACACAAAAAAGGCAAAAGAATTTGTTTACCCAGGCTCTGGGGTTTAAACAGATTCTGCTGAAATCTGAGAAGGAGCTTTTGGCACCTGTTAAGCTGCCTGCCTTGAGAGAAGTAGAAGTTACAGTTTCTACTGTGAGTCACTGAGGCCCAAGCTTCCCTTGGATGCCTTGCATCTTTTCTTACATCTGTACTTGATTCTCTCCTTCTCCCAGGCACTGTAGATATCCTAGTTCTTACTCTTCACTGTAATTGCTGCGGGCCTTATTTTGATCCACTTGTCTGACTTTATAAACATCCTTCTTGATCCTTTGTGGCAGCTTCCCTTGAGTAAATCATTTTTCTCTACCCAGGCTGGTTTCCTTAGCTACAAATTGAGGAAGGTTGAAAATAAACCATGATGCATTCAAAGGTATATGTGTGTATTGGTACTATTTCTTCTAATAGCAACAAATTGAAGGTAACTACAAAGCTGGACATTAGGAAAATAGCATAGACACTAAATGGAATATTTTGAAATCATTACAATGACGGAAAGGCAACATGGAATGATGATTAAGAATATGAATTTTAGAAGCTGAATGTATAGGTTTTAATTCCACTCCATGCTATTTACTAGCTCTATGATCTGGGCAAGTTGCTTAACTCCTCTGTGCCTCAGTTTCCATTTCTGTAACCCTATCTCATATAGTCGCAATCCAGATTGAATTAGATGTAAGCGTAGTTATAATAGTGTCTGACATACAATGAACATTATGTTAGGATTTGTTAAGCTAATACAATGAGAAGATAATGTTGTAACAGTATTTACAAAGTGGATAAAAATGCAGCATACAAAATTGGATACAATAGTAGTAGTACTCTTACACTAGATCACAAATGTCCCCACTATTATTGTTGTATAAAGTTAAAAAAAAAGGACTTTAAAAGATTCAAATGTTGTAGCTGGCACTGTGTTGCAGCAAGTTAATGCCCTAGCCTTAAGTGCTGGCATCCCATATGGGCGCCGGTTCGAGACCCGGCTGCTCCACTTCCGATCCGGCTCTTTGCTATGGCCTGGGAAGGAAGTAGGGGATGGCCCAAGTTCTTGGGCCCCTGCACCCACATGGGAGACCTGGAAGAAGCTCCTGGCTCCAGGCTTCAGATTGGTGCAGCTCTGGCCGTTGTGGCCAGTTGGGGAGTGAACCAGCGAATGGAAGATTCTCTCTCGCTCTCGCTCTCGCTCTCTCTGCCTCTCCTCTCTCTCTGTAACTCTGACTTCCAAATAAATACATAAATCTTTTTTAAAAAAGGATACAAATGTTTATGACACAGAACCAAACAGAATTCAGGTTCTAAATTATGTGTAGTATCACTATGGAAACATATTTTTCTCTATTATTTTTAATTTTATTTTGTTTTTATTTATTTGAAAGATAGAACGAGAGAGAGAAACAGAGAGAGAGAGAGAGATGGAAAGAGCTTCTATCTGCTGGTTCATTCCCTACATGCATGCAACATGCAAGGATGGACCGTGCTGAAGGCAGGAACCAAGAACTCTTCTGGGAATCCCACATAGGTGGCAGGGACCCAAGTACTTGCACCGTCATCCACTGCCTTCTAGGATACATTAGTAGAAAGTTGGATAGGAAGCAGAGTAGCCAGGAAACCAGGACTTGAATTGGCATTCTGATATGGAATATGGGTGCCCAAAGTGATACCTTAATCCACTGTGGCACAACACTGGCCCTGAAACATATTTTTAAAATCTTTCAATATACAAAATACAAAATATCATGCTTTTTTATAATTAGAAACATAATTTTAAAACTAAATTCAATATATTAAAATATAGCCATATTTTAATTGTACATACATTTTTAAATAAAATAAATAAAAACTAGAGAGAAATATATTGAATTGCTGCTGATGATGGTGATCAAGCAAGGTATGGAGATTAAGAATTATCTCCTCCTTCCCCATTTTCTATATTCTTTACAACATGATCATCTTCTCTATAAAATTTAAAAATGGATTCTATATAGCACATGAATATGTATCAGATGTAATATTAAGCAAGAAACAGAACAGAAGATTGTATCTAAAAACAGGATTCGAAGTATTTGAAAATATGCATTAAAAAAAAAGTCTGGAAAGATACACTGCAAATTGTTCCATGTTTTTGTTCTTAGAGGTGGATTAAAAGAATTTTTGGCCATATTCTTAATTTCAAAGATATTATAAAATGTGATTAGATTGTTGTGGGGTAATTAAGAAGACTATCTAGGGACACCTCACAGAATACACTGAAAGGGTGGTTGCAGTTATGTCAAACTGGTTCTGCCTGTGCATAAGGTGTTACTAGAGAGAAGCATGCAGAAGCACAATGTTAGGGTGATTTGGTGAAGGACGCCATTTTCCTTCATTTCAGACATTAAGAATCACACAATCTTTTTTCAATAAAAAAATGGTTTGGATGAGCCAGAAGGAATATGGAAAAAAGGTAAAAGGAAAAGCCAAAAAGAAAATAATTAGCTGAATCCTCATAATACATGGGTACTTCAAAACATTTGTAGGAAA